ATCAGTCACAGACAAAAGAAAAAAGAAACTTAAACCACCTTACCTCCCGGGGAAGACGTCTGCCGCGTATCCAGGACCAAGCAGAAAGGGTTTTCAGGCAAACGAGGAACCCGAAAGACTTAAAAGGTTCTTTGGAACTTTAAAAAATTAATGGCATGGAAGTAGAAAAGCCTGAAAATTTCCCTGCCGCCAGAAGAATCCTGACCGTAATTAGAACTGGCCCGGGTACGCGGGAGATTTGGGGCATGATACAGGAGGCCCAGTCGTCTCTAAAAATGGTGCCCCAGTCGCCTACCTTTTAGATCCGGAAACAGAAGAAGCAGATCAAAAAACTCAAAAATTGGTCCCAGTTTTCGTTCACCCATCCCTTTATAGGGCGCTCAAATTAACCTACCCTTCGGACATCGGCGGCTTGTCTCAGGATGATACCGTCGAAAGTGAGATGGCGTCAGGATCTATGTGACGAGCTGTCGGTGTCCTCACCCCAGCCATATTCTATCCTGAAGGACAACTCTAATCGGCTTCACAATGGCTCTCTGGTTAGCTAGTTTGAATGTCCGGGGCCTGAGGTCCGAGTCTCGCAGGGCGAGGCTCATTCGTGACCTTCAGCGCCTCGGGGTGAATATATTGTTGTATACAAGAGACCCGATTTTCTTCTCATGATCGTGAGGATATACTGTCTAAGGGTTCGCCCTTTATTCAGCATGTTTTGATGGTCGTTCGAGGGGTGTCTCTTGGCTAGTGAGCAGGCCTTTGAAGGCTGCATGTACCCTTGTCTTCGCGGATCCGGCGGGCAGACTTTGCGTGCTGGATGTTACCATAAAGGATAAGGTTCTTCGTTTCATTGGGGTTTATGCGCCCAATAACCATTCCGAGCAGCCTGCTTTGTTTCGGCAGATCGCGCCGTTCTTGACGACGTCTCGTCAGGTAGTTTTAGTGGGGGATTGGAATGCCGTCCTTGACCCCGATATAGATCGGATAGGGCAAAAAACAAGGTACTAACAACCCGGATGTGAAACCATTTCGGGACTTTATCGATGGGTTTGATCTTGTCGATAAGTTCCGGAATGAACACCCTCAGGGGTAGCATGGACTTGGACAAATAGTGGCAACTCGGATCCTGGGACGCTTGCGAGCTACCTGGACCGAGTCTTAGTTAGGAGAGTCGATGTAGGGCCTCTTAGGATGTCCAAGTTTCCATTATATAGTTTATACGGATCATAAACTTGTCCGGGTCCGTGTAAACTTAGATAAAAGGGTTAGGTTGGCTGGTTACTGGAAATTGAACTGTTCACTTTTTGCTGAGCAGTCTTTCCGGGACCAGCTGTTACTAATGATACAAAGGGAATTGACGGGAGCGGTTGTTGGAAATGCCTGGTGGGGCAATTTAAAATCTAAAATCCGAACGTTTGCTGCCGATTTTAGTCGTCGGCTCAATCTAGATAGATTAGCGGCGCAAACGGCTTTAGAAAGTAAAGTTGATCGGGCTGTGAAATCCCGTGTTAGTGGGGATATAGCTTTAGCTAAAGGCAGAGTTGTCCTCCTTGCTTATCAAGAAGGATCATGCTCTGGTAGTTAGGGCCTAGGTTAAAAGAATGTCTTCTGAGGCGACGAATATGGCCGCTGAACTGCGTGCAGAGGAGAATCGAAACGCGTCTAGGCGACATATCGCGTGCGTCACATTACCGGATAAGCGGACCGTGACTACAAACGCGGGCATATGTGAGGTCTTTCGAGATTACTTTCAGGAGCTTTTCACCAGGGAGCACGGTCTGAGCTCTGCTCAGTTCGACGCCTATTTAGCTGACTTTCCCTGCCTCTCGGCAGCCGAAGTACAATAGGTGTGAGGTCCCATAACAGATTCGGAAATCTGGGAAGCGCTGAAACAGGTTGGCCTGGATAAGTCTCCGGGATTAGATGGTCTTCCCTACGAAGTTTACTTGAGGTTGTCACCCGTTTTTGTGCCTTTGCTGGAACTGATGTACAACCACTGGATGAGGCAGGGGGTCTTTACCTCAACGCTTCACCAGGGGTGTCATCAAGTTGCTGCGTAAGGACAAGGACAGTGGGGATGGTTTAAATAACTTTCGCCCTTTAACGATGTTAAACACAGACTTAAAGATTTTGGCGAAGATCTTAGCCAACCGTTTGCAGCTTGTCCTGTCTAGTCTGATTGGCCCTGAACAGACTTGTGCTGTGAAGAGCAGGACTATTCAGGATAACCTTCATATGGTACGCTTGATCTTAGAACAAGTCGACAGTGAAGCCGCGCTGATCAATTTAGATCAGTCCAAGGCCTTCGATAGGGTTGACCATCGATTTCTGGAGCTGTCCTTTCGGCGGCCGGTTTCCGGACTCGACTTTCGCTCCTGGATCCGACTCTTGTATGCGACCCCCGGTGCGCTGGTGGAAGTGAATGGGGTAAGATCGAAGCCTTTCGTATTGTCTCGCTCCATTCGTCAAGGTTGTCCACTATCGCCTCTGCTTTACGTTCTTGCGTTGGAGCCTTTCCTTCGCAAGTTAAAGGCGAATCTGGTCCTACGCGGTATTTCGCTGCCTGGTGCTTCCACCTCAGCCAGGTATTCTGCCTATGCTGACGACGTTTCGGTTCTTGTGTCGAGCAGAGCCGAGATTAACGAAGTCAGCAAGCAGATCAGTGGGTATGAGATGGTGACAGGGGCCAAGATCAACCGCGATAAGTCTGTGGGCTTGCGGTTGGGTGCGTGGAAGGAGTTTCTCTTCCCGGACCTTTCCTCTGGACGGATGGGCCGATCAAGATACTCGGCGTCTGGTTCGGTCCTGATCTCCAGTTGGAAAAGAATTGGTCGGAGGTACAAGGGAAGGCCGAGGTCGCGGTTAATCTGTGGTCTCGGAGGAGACTTTCCCTGAAGGAAAGGCGGAGTGTGTGTTTCACATCTATCCGATCCTCCTTTACCGACTCTCTGTGCTTCCACTCCCGTCTGCCCGTCTATTGTCATTAGTCAAGACCTTGTTCTCTTTTTGTGGAGAGAGGCAAGGCCCATATGGTATGTCGCGAGATCTGTTGCCTTCATCCCTCTGAGGGCGGTCTGGGTATGCCTAGCATTGAGATTCGTCAATATATGCTTCGCATTACCTTTCTAGACCGAATGTGTCGCGGTTCGGATGAGGTGGGCACCTTTTGGAAAGAAGATGTCCGGAAACATTTCCCATCCTTGAGAAGTGTGCACTCGTGTGAGGAGGAGGCCGGCCGTACACCCCGAGCCGAGTGCTCCTTCTATCGCGAATGTCGTCGTGCTTTGAAACTCCTCTTGCGGACGTCGGATGGCCTCTCCGACGCCCAGGCGTTGTCTCGTAAGGCATTGTATCGATTGTTAGTTAGGGGGGCCGTTCAAGATGATCTAATTGGCGAGCTCGGTCTTACGAAGCAGGAGGCTCGCTCGATATGGCCTTGGGCGCCTGGGTTGAAATGTCTCAATAACGATGAGGCATCACTCACCTGGCTGATGATTCGTGGGGCCCTCTGGGTCGGCAAGAGACTTTGTTCAGCAGGCTTGGAGAAATATCAAACTGTCGTCGCTGTACTGGGGAGGTCGAGACCATTGGTCACGCCTTTTTTCAGTGCAAGACGGTAGTGCCATTAATGCAGGTTTGTTGAAGGCCTCATGGTTCGCATGTTGCAGGGGAAAGTTTTTTGTCCTGAAGCCAGTTCTGTTTGTAGCAATGTGGTGCCGCAATTGACGAAGGAGGAACACTATGTGTTCTGTTGCTTACTAGGTGTTATGAGAGTCGTGATTTGGACGACGCGTCAGAAGGAATTCTATGATCGTGAGAAGTTCACCTCTTCCCAACTGATCTTGTTCTTTAAGCATCAGCTTAAAGTCAAGATCAGGACGGAAAAACGGCGGCTCCCTTCATCAGAATTTGGCAAAAGGTGGGTAAATCTTGCGCGAATGTGTAGAGTGAAAGGGGCTGACCTAGAGTGGCACTTGGATGTCGGTTAGGGTACAGGATTTTGTCCTAACAGGGTTGAACAAAGCAACCCATCCCGATATTAGGTTAGTTTAGGTTCTTGTGTTTTGATCTTTTAGTTTTCTTTTTTTTTACTGGTTAACTTAGCTAGGGTGTGCATGCTCATTGGCCCCTTTATTTCTGTCCCTATTTTTTTTTTTAGTTTAAACTCCCATCCCCTCCCTCGTTAGGTGGTCAGTGATGTCAGTTCTCTGGTGGATGCAGGACGCCTTTCGTTTTCGTATGTGTGATTTTTCGTATTTGTTGTTGTGTATGAATGTGTGTGTGTGTGTGAATGATTGGAGGAATGATTGTGTTCCTTATTTTTTCATAGTCCCGCATTGATTTCGTCCGGTTAACTGATGTTTCTGCCACATTTATGGTTTGTGGGGGTTTATTACTAACACAAGTTTTGTTTATTTTCTTGTAAATATTAAGGCATATTGTACAGACTCATTTGGGGATCTTTTTAAAAAAAATTGTTGTTTTATGCCCCTCCCCCCACGAACAATATTTGTACATAGGGGGATTAGTTAGGATTTCATAGAGAATTTGAGGTATTATGGTGGACGTAGTAAGAAAGGTATGAGTGAATGTGTTGTTTTGGTGATAGGAATATTGTTGGTTTGTTTGGGTCCGTGTCTGGGTCTAGCTAAGGTTAAAAATTAAGACAGAAGAAGACCGTCCTTCCCCATCCCCTTTTAGGCCTTGTGCCACATTTTATACCTTTTGTATAAATAAATATCAAACTTTCCCTCACGATCCGTTTAGGTGAAACCTAGGTAGGTTTGTCTGGCTCACTAGGTATATATATATATATATATATATATATATATATATATATATATATATATATATATATATATATAAATGATAGATAGATTTGTCGTAAAAAAGAATTAGTAAAATTTGGACAGTTGACATCTCGAACGTAACGTGTAATAATATTTATTTTTAGTAAAAGAATGAAAAAGCTGTCTATGAAAAGCTGTTCGAAACAATTCACGGCTTACGGCTACATCACGTTAAAACACTGGTTCACATATGATCACTGAAGTTAAGCAACGTCGAGACTGGTCAGTACCTAGATGGGTGACCACTTGGGAATACCAGGTTCTGTAAGCTTAGATATGCGGGTGGTGTAATGGATAATGGCTCTGAATTGTTAATCGGAAAGCCGAGTTCCTTTTCCTGTTAGATTCATTATATTCACTTACGCGCAAATCCCCTTTGGAAACGTAAGAATCCACCCATGTCCCCCTGCTATGGGTTAATTAGTAAGACTTGTATCCCTAAACTATTATTATCGAAAAAAAATCTTACAATCTGAAAATATTTTTGACTTGTGATAAACGACAAAGGGTTGATAAGCAGTAGAAAACGAATGAATCAGCCAATCAATATGAACATTTCACATATAAAAAGCTACTTCTTTTCTGTGACTGTCTAAAAAGTCATTTCTATTAGGAATGGTCCATAGAGACCAAAAAAAGTGGGGAAGTTTTTTATTCCATTCATTTGTGTCTAAATAGAACGAAATGGGCCAACATTTTGAAAATTTTTGAAAATTGGGATGGAGTCGGACCGAAAGGTGCCCAGACCTGCCCGGGGCCCAAAATATCACTAAAAATGACAACGTATTCAACAAAACTTTAAAAATGAACCACATCCTTGCTGATTCTGATTCAAATGACTGAATTTATGGTTATATGTTGTTTCTACAAAGATTACACAGAAATTAGGAAAATATTTTTTATGTTTTAAGCAAAAATAGACCAAATTGAGATAAAATAACAGTCTTCATGACAGATTCAGTTTCCAAGAATTTGAAAAATTGAAAATTTGGTAGCTGCAATCCTCCTGTCACAGCACATACCTTAATATCTTCTTTGCACGATGCACGATGCACGCTTATGAAGTCTTTGACAGAAGGAACCTATTCTGAAGCATATAGAGAGTAAATTTGAACTAAAGGAAAAAATAATCAAAGCAATGCCATCTTTGAAATCATTCCTGGCTAAAGTTTTAATCTTACTGTAAATGATGCCTTTTATAAACTTCTATTGAATGATGGTCATAAAACATCAATCTCTGAGGAATTTGATAAAATGCAAGCGTTTTGTATGATATAAATAATCAAAAATGCATATATACGTTTCATATTTCTTTAGGCCTGCGTGTGTCTGTATTTACGTGTGCAATTATAACTACAAACACTTAGTCTCTATAGAACAATCACGTTATAATGATAAACACTCACTTGTGGAACAAGCTGAGTGAATGAACACTCCTCCTTCTGAAAGAGAGCTATTTATTGCTGTTTATTCTATTGTTATTCTACAGTCTCCTTGGATATGGTGCTGCTGCCTTGCTTCATCATTTTGATGATATAAGGAATACTGTTTCAGATACACCATCAAATAATCAACTGGTACAGGCATGTAAATTGTACCTTGAAGTGGAACATTGAATGCGCATTAAGATGTGTGGCATGGGTTACTTTCAAAATCACGGTGCCATATTTAAACATGTATGAGATGAGTTGGTGTCACTAAAAACCCTCTTGACCATTCTTCCTGCTTTTTATAATGGCCTGAGATATTCAAATATGGGCACTTTTGCTCGATAGCGTTTCTAAATAGAATGTAATGTTGAACTATTTGGTGATCTTTTTTTTTGTAATCTGGTCTATATCAGCTCCAAAATATTCTATTGTTTTTGGAAATTAATTCAAAATTGTGTACGTAGAACCATGAATTTTATCATTTCAATCATTTACGTGATAATTTTTTGGTGAATATTGATGTTATTTAGAATACGTTGTCAATTTTAATGATTTCTGGGGCCACCCCTTTTTTTAAAAATTTGGTTTCTTAGCCCACCCCTATTTCTATGTGTAAATGGTTAAAAGTAAACAACAAAAATTACAGAATTAATTCATCAGTAATGTTTAAAATAATAGAAAATATGGTCAATATCTCCTTCGGATAATGAGCACAGTTTTTGCTGTTTTTGGTGTTATCAAAAAGGTTCAAACCTTTTTGATCCTGCAGCCTCTTAAGTAAAAGGAGCGATTGTTTTCTAGTAATACGATCAACACATGCACAGTAACACACTCAATACGCGCGTTTCCTTTATATTCCCTTATCTGCAATATGTGTAATAAATATCATTACCCCCCCCCCCACCAAAAAAAAAGCAGAAACAGTCTCTTAAGTACAAAAACAACGTAAATATAAATCACTTGTCAAAACCTTTTAATTTTAATAGCCATTCACAAAAAGTCCGGTTACTCTTATTCGTAAATTGAATCGAGACACAAGGAAAAACGAAGAAAAAGTCAGAAAATCGCCTCAATCTACTTAATTAATTGAAAGGATTTTATTTTATTTTTTATAATTCAAAATAATAATTTCGTGTTGGTGCGTCGTCAAATGGTCAAAACGTTAGCATTAAAATCACGAAACCCGGATTCAAATCTCCAGAGAGTAAAAGTTTTCAGGGGGTGATTTCTTGATAATATTGGTTGAGGTAGACGACATCATCATTGGGAAATATCTCAAACACATACCGCGAGTTGATTCAAGCTTTTTGAGTGAACGTGTATAGAAGAAACTGTTTGAAAGCCGTCAATGGTTGTTTTATCACGAACTCACAAGTCATCGTGACCGAGAGTTTGAATGTATTGGCCTTATTCAACTACTGATCATGTATGTACTCATTTCCAGAAACTATAAGCATAGATGCAGTAAAAACACAGACTTTTCTGAGTAAGCAACAACAGGGATTAGAAAATGAGAATTTTAGACAATGGTGGCTCCTAGGCTCATTTTGTAATCCCTGTTTTTGCCGTGAAAATGAAGGCTTCCTACTTGAATACTTTTCATTTTATAGGTAAACATTCGTACTTTTGAGGACAACATGAAGATTTTTACTACTCAGAAATGGGAATATATGATAAAAATCTTATAATGTAAATTAAAATAACCATTTGATAGAAACAGTATTTTATTTTATATTATAAAATCTTTAGAAAGAATTTTTGTCATTATTATATATCAAGAGAATCATTTGGCAAAAAAGCGTGCTTTATGTTTATACATACGTCAATTAAGTTAAATGTAACATTGGAATTGCTGCATACATCGACATTTTTTTTAATAATTTGTATAAATGTCAATTTCATAAGATATTATTTGGTCACGTAAAATGTTCTTCACTTTATTTTTTACAACATTTTTCTTTCTTTTTGACATTAAATTTACTCCAGAAATTATTTACCCTTTTGGGGGGGATTTATTCTGGCATCCTTAAGTCAGCGCCATTCTTTCCACATTAAACTGATTCAAATTAAATAACTTCTCTGTATGTCTTCTGAAATCGTCAAGAGGATTGAAACCTTTTTTTATTTTTTACTTACAGAATCCTATAAAATCGAATAAATGATAATCCAATTGTATAAGATATTCTGGATATGGACTTTTTTTACTTGACATGTTCCTCCAGGGCATGACTTTTCACAATTTCCTATCTTTTGTTGCACTAAGTTTCTGTAAAAACCTTTTACCAACTCTATACTTGATCTGCCATTTATTCACACCAATTCGTTGAGTATGTTTTAACCTGCTTCCCTTGCTTTGAATACGCCCTGTCGTGTTGCATTCTGCAAGCATTATTTCTTCATTATGTATCACAGATATTCCATCCCTCACTTTAAGTCTTTAAATATAAGCTTCCTTGTAATTCCTATTTTCTTTAAAACTTCTTCGTTACTCATATGTTCTGTCCATTATATTCTCAGCATTTGTCGCTAGAACCAGATCCCTGTCGCTTCATGTCATATTAACCTGTTAGGGATTGTCGAACATTCACTGTGATGTACGAGATTACATATTACATAGTGATTCAGTAATGTCTTTTCTATATTTCTAATACCGACACCGTAAATGTGAGAAGGCTTCTTGTCTAAGCAGTAATAATTTTTTAGGATACCAAGAAAATATGTAATAGCATTATTCTGATGCTATACAGGGTCTCATAAAACATTATCGTGACTGGGAATATAAAAAGAAAAATACAACACATATCAATTCATTGTTTCATTTCTTTCGAAAAAATCCCCTTCTGAAGCCACACACTTTATCCAGCAACGTTTCCATTGACGAAAACATTCCTGGAACACCTTTCTTGGGTCTTGCGTGCAGCTGCCTCGTCACATTCTCTTGTATTTCGTCGACGTTTTGAAATCTTGTCCTTTCCAAGTGAGATTTGGTTTATAGAAAAGAGGAAAAAGCCACAAGGTGTGAGATCTGGGGAATATGGTTGTTGTCTGACCTAGGGAATGTTGTTTTGGTTAAAAACTGCTGCATAAGCCATGGTCACTGATGGAAACTCTGTTGTGGTGAGACGACCATAATCTACACACATTTCTTCCAACGACTACTATAAACAACGGAAATGAGTGAATACGCCATAACTTAGCTCCGTTAACATACCAACACTTGGATATTTTTTATCAGACCTTGTATGCCATTTATTCTAACCTTCCTGGGTATAAAGATAAATTACATCCGCGTCCTGGGTAAGACGATAAACTACATCCGACAGTAAAGCCTCTGATCAGGGGATTTGGGGGAGCGTAGAACCACCTCTTAATTGCTGGTGTTCCCTGGTCCCCCTGACTCGGGGTGGTAGTACCTGTCAGGGACCCAGCTATGGGCAAATATTTAACTCAAAATACTATGAAAGTATAAAAATAGGTTTCAATGCCAGAAATACCTTTTTGAAAAAATTATTAACAAAAATACATTTTTTAAGATAAAATTATTCCCTGCAAGACACTATTACCAGAAGTACATTTTTAAAAAGAAAAATATTACTAGCAATACATTTTTGGGAAAAAATATTGTCAGCATTAAATAACCCATTGAGGTTGATATGCAGTAAAAGAAAACAAAGCAAAGCAAACTCTTTCTTCTAATTCAAGATTTTATTATTAATTGCCGCTTTCAATTGATTTAATTTTGAGCACTACTTGATGGAATCAATCATTTGATTTTTCGAATAAATGCTATTATATATTCATTATATTTTTACATGAACATTGGTCTTTGGCATGATTAG